TATTTTTATAAAAATTTTGGTTAAACAATTTACTTTATTTAATAGACCTAAAAAATCAGTGAAAAATAATTTAAAAATAATAATTTTGCCCAAAAAAATTTTCATACTTTAATTTTTTCTTTTATAGATTTTTATGCAATGAACCACCGGTCCTACCATTGACCCACTGATTCAATCAGTAACCCGAGACCCAATACCTTATCTTGGTTGATGTCCGGGTCGGATCTAATAACTATGCAAATTCTAACTCATTCTTTCATAAAATAATATTACACATAAACCCAAAACATTTTCTTATCTTTTAATCACACATTCTCCAAAAAATCACAATTTCAAAATATGTTTTCTCCCAAAATCACATTAAAATGGATCCCAAACAGAATTATAATTTGTTGAATAGACGAGTCGTTAATGTATTGAATAGACTTGCCATTAGTGCACTCGACCGGTGCATGCCAATCACTCAAATTTCAAACTTGGATCATGGCTAATTTAAACATGATTGCTTCTTGTTGAGCATGGAGAATTTGACTTACCTATTTCATTTGTTATCAAGGATCTTTGGTTTTCTTTCAATCGTAGTGACATAATATCAAAACAATCACACTTTGTGTACGGAATTATTTGCCCACTTTCTTGATAGAATGTCATGTTATTGAACTATTTAAAAAACAGTGAATTTTTGCACATAATAATCTACTGTCAACACTGCATCTGTCAGTAGGTGGGCAAAAAATTATATACAAATGGCTAAATCCATATCAAAAATCTAGGCAACATTTTTTTATTCTAAAGTGCTTGATTATACGGTAAACTTTTTCCTTTGAATGTGAGTCGCCCTAATTATTCACAACATTAAAAAAAAAAAAAGGCCATTTATATCTCAAAGAGAATGTCATCTCAAAGAGATAAGCCAAAAAAAGATAAATAAAAAGGCAAAAGGTTAGGTCCCCAATCAATTTAAAATTTAACCATATGTAGGTTGATGGATACATACGTAAACATGTAATCAATTAAAAATTTGACCATATGTAGGTTAGATCTCTCTTTTTTGACATTTTTTGGATTATCGACAAATTAAAAGCAATTATGAATTTTGTTGATTAATCAAACAGATTAATTGTTATGTTTAAACAACTAATATGTACAATGTCAGCACACCCAAGATCACTACAATCAGGTCGTGTCAAGTCTTTTTATAGGGGTTCTCATTTTCAGTGTGATCGAATCACACGAGGTTATATTTTCCTCAAAAAAACAAAAGGAAAAAAAATTGTACAAACTATGGGCTGTGTATGGCCTACAAACGAGAGGGTCATATCGAATGGTTTACATCTTTAGTTAAATCTTGAATGGTTCATTTTTTTAAGATTAAATATAAATACTATTTTAATATAATATTAGATTAGGTAATAACTTCATTGAAAATTGAGTGGGGGTGATGGCCACCACTGAACCTCATGTAGGTCCGCCCCTGTCCCCTGGCTGGGTATGGCTGACTAAGGAGAGGGTCATATCGAATGGTTTACATCTCTAGTTAAATTTTGAATGGTTCATTTTTTTAATATTAAATATAAAAACTATTTTAATATAATATTAGATTAGGTAATGACTCTTTGATAAAAATCTAATTTGCATGTTGAAAAATCGACACGCTCACGTGCACATGGATCATGGGTGAAGTTGAAGTGTTGAACAAGTTGACAAACATTGAATTTAAAAAAAAAAAATCCCACAGAAATTCCATAATAAATAGTTGGCCATAATTTACAATTAATATTAATTAAAAAAATATACTTCAAAATCATCTTTCTCAATTCTTTGTTGCTAAGGAACTGAATTGTCGTGCCCATTTTCGTTGTGCATTTTGCTTTGCCAAAAGTTACATACCAAAATTCCTCTTTTTTTGGCATTGAAAAAGCCTTTTTAATATTCCAAATGACTTTGTTTCTATAGGAAGTGCCACATTGCCAGTTTTCGACCTACCCTTAATTTACATTTATTGTTATGTGATTTTTATGTTCTAAGACTCGAAGGTCTCTATCAGATTGAATTTTAATTCTCGATTTTTAATTATAATTAATGATTCTTTTAGGAAAACCCCTAATGAAGTAATTCAAAAGTTCTCTCTTTGCATGATTAAATTTTCGAAGATTGCGACAAGAAATAAAGCAAAGGAAGTTAGAACGAGTGGATACTAGTATGCTACCGTATGTTGCTAGAATTTTTAAAAAAGGCGTAAATAGCGCATGGATAATGCCTAATGACGAACTAGAATATCAACAATAAAGAAAATATCTAATGAATGATCAATTAATTTAAAAGTTTAAATTGATATATTTGAGAAATTTTCTTTTTTAATATACTAATAACTTTGACAATCTTTTTAAATGAAGAAAATATTTCCTTTTTCTTAAAAAAAAAAAAATACTTAGCCTCTGTTTGGTTTAAAAAAAATCAGATTTTTAGTAAAATTTAATTCCTCGAATGTGATATTTTTCATAAAATTTAAACCAATCAAACGGAACCTAAAAGGGATAGTATTAAGAGGATAATAATATTTACATATGGAACTTTGAGAGGTTGCTCAATTGGTTAGGCCTTTGGTTTACTCTCCAATGATCACCAATTCGAATTCCCTCAGAGCCATTGAGGTGAGTAACCAACAGTAAACTTCAAGGCTCCGTGGAATTAGTCGAGGTGCGCACAAATTGATCAGGACATCCACGATTATATATATATATATATATAATAGAAACAGAAATTCCATTTTCTGTTTTTCGGCTATGACTGGAAGTGAATATTGTTTGGCACAGATTTAGAAGACAAAGCTTTCCTAAAATAAAACCATTCAATCATTCCCAGGGTGTGTTTGATGGATATTATTGATGAAAAAATGTATTTTAAATAGTTATATGATGGGAAATATGTAGTTAAAAAGTGAGGAAATGTTATTGATGTGATGAAAAATATTATTTTATTGAAAAATGTGTGGTTGAAAATGAATTTTGAAATAATGTATTTTGAAAGAATGTGTACCAAACATGGATATCAGTTTTCATCCTACCACATGCTGAAAAATGGCTGGAGGGAAAACTCGAGTAATTTATCGTAACTTGTGCTCACAAAAATGTGCTGTACTTGGGCATACTAATGTCAAACAATCATGCTACATGTACATTTCATTTGACATCAATTTTGGCATTGTGCTACATTTTATGACATGAGTGGACAATTTTAAAATAAAATACATTTTTCCGTCTATTTGCATTTAAAAATACATGGAGTGTCAAACTCCATATCAACCAATTAATGTACAAGAAGCT